ATCTACACACACATTACCTTCCCCTCTTTTATATACCCGACTACCCTATATCTAGCAAACACTAGAGCATTCGCCAAAGTACAGGATAGTTCTAGAAAGTAGAGGGCGTGAGAATCACATGATCTCGATGACGCAACAGTATTCTTTGTCACATCCACATGTGATCTTATAAAATAAACTTTTTTTCTTAGTGACAGGTTTAGGAAAAGAATTTTGACAATGGAAAAAAATAATGGTCCTTCTGCTTTTCTGAACAATACTTTTTACTTTTATAGAACTCTGAGCTCACTGACGTGAAAAGTTTACACGTTAATTTCAAATTTACACTTGACTTTTTGCTCTGCTGCAGTTTTGCCTTGTATATTTATTTCGTTACGTTACAGCTTTTAAGGTACTTTAATATCTGTTAAGACTTTCTTTTTCGCAGAAACATTTTCTCAACTCGGGAAGCGTTTGACGAATCCAATGTTGATAAACGTTGAGAAGGTAGTTTGTTTGGTACATAATCTTATGCGTAAGTTTGAGATGAATAGCAACGATAGCATTATGCAATTCAAAGTAAAATGCAATCCAGGCAGGATTGTTTCATACCTACTGGGATCAAACATAGAATCTAGCTAGTGTGGATACCCCATTACTTGGGTTTCAAATTTGAACATGTGCCATATGTTATTCCTTTTCAATATTTTATAAATTTGGTTTTTATTTTTCATTCCTTTCAGAGGAACTAAGAACATTACTATTCACTACTTTAATGTTTACAAGATGTAATACTGTACAATTTTTCTGTTTATATTTATATTGCTAGTATACTCACTGAATTTACTGATATATCTGTTTTGATATTTTCCCATATTTCACATCATGTACACCAGTGCATAGTTTTATTACTTTTTATACATAATCAAGATACATTATGCTTGATAAAGGTAAAGTACCATTTTGATATCTTATCAGTAGTTGAACCAAAACACATAACTTAAAAGTTTTTATTATCTCTGGATTCACTCGCGTCAAGAATGAATATTATCAGGATAACAGCTCGGGAGTGACTTACATATAAACCTCGGTGTATTGTGCAGAAATTACTCAGTATATAGAACCAAAATGAAGATTTTAAAATTTTTCAAAGTAATTGGAATAGTTCAATTGTTTACTTTGTATTACTGTTTTCTTCAAACTTTTGTAACAGGATTTCCCGCTACAACGAATTACTCAGGTAAAAATAACCTCTTGTGACTAATATTTAGATATTATAAAATGACATGGACCCAAAACATAGCACTTATATTATTTATTTATTTTCATTTACAGTTATTAGTATACGATGTATGGTTAAGATGTACAGGAAATAACTGGTCTGATATTACTTTCAGGGAGTCATCCACGCTTAGTATTTTGTGACAAACATTTTTATTTTTTGAATATTTTTCAAACCTAACCAACAAACTTCTGATGAAATTGAAACGCTATAGTAATTATTACAATTTTAATTTCATTCTTTGTTTCGTTCTTCATCCAATATTTTGAAAACAAATTCAACGTTTTTCAATTTAAAACCAAATTTTATGTACATTTATCTCATGTATTTGAAGTTATTTTTCATTCTTCGTTTTTAATTCTCCACTAGTCATGTATTTAAACCCAAACCAGCTTTTATTTTCAGTTGAAATACAGCTGCTTATCTTTATTTAATCTTTTTTTATTTCTGACCAGTATAAAAATAAAGTATTAATATTAAAGTTTAAATCTGAATGTTGAAATTTCAAAATAATACTTTTTTTTGTTGGTAAGCGTAAAGCTACACTAGGGGCTATCTGTTCTGTACCCACCATAAGTATCGAAACCCGTGTTTTAGCAATTGGAGCCTCTTAGACTTGCCGCTAAGCCACTGGGAGGCTCAAAATAATATATTTTCGTATTTAGTTCTAAACTGGTCCAAGCGTTGATTTAATGTTCCTCCAAGTACACTCCAAAACTACTTTTAATTACTACTTTAAATGATATCATTTAGACATTTACTAGTGATTAGAGAGTGGATCTGTGATCTATGGTTCGTATCCCGTTTACGCATAAAAATAATGTTCCGCACTTTAGGACCATGGATGTGTTATAACAGTGACTGTCAAATTTCACTATGTAAAAGAAAAGAAACACGGGGACACACTAATCAATAAACCTATTTTAATTTAACAAGGGTTTCACATTGATTGTTTTGTACTTTCCTCGCCTACACAGTTCTATTATCAGATCAAATCCTGTAATAGTGATTCGATTGGAGTAGCCCATTTGATACACTAGCGAATGATGATGATTCAAAATCCCTCGACATGTGCAATGTTGTGATACAGAAGATTTCAAGAATACTGACAGTATTAGCATTGATATCAAATAGAATTTCTTTGTTGACTAAAAATGTATAGTTTGAATATAGAGCAGAATGTTAATGTTTTTATTTAGTTTCTGTGAATCGTGCATCATTTTATTTAAAAAAAAATCTCTCATCGAATAGTTCACCTCTAAAATATAATTCTATTTGCTATTACTAAATTTTATCAAAGAAATGGGTTTTACTCGGCTTACAATTTCAAACTGATATAGCACTGGATGCATTACGCTATAAATACAATATCACTTACGAAATACCTTTGATGGTCCAGCTTTCTCTCTCACCCTTGTCTTTTAATTGTATCAATATTTTCAAAGGTTGTGATGAAATCGCTGCTATACAACTCAAGATACACAATTCGTACACGAATAACTGGACTTATAGTTTTATAATAACAAAACAGTAAATATTTGTTGTTTAAAATTTGGGATGCATCAAAATATCAACGAAAAAAGATCTTTAAAAGTCTTCTTTACACTTGAACAAAAAAATCGTGACATAGTGAAATCATCGTTACCTAATATACACACATAGAAAAATGTCTTTCTGTTTTATTCTATGTTATTTTACAAATTATTATTTTAATAATTTTCATGTTTTCTCCTTTCTTGAAATCGTTGAACTTATGGTTTGCTATAAGAAGCTGAAACGGAAATGTTCTACTGCTAATTTTATAACTATATGTATCTGTATAACAAGAATGTAATTTGAGGCCTTTTAGAACTATTTTAAACTTGTAGAATGTTACCTCAACAGTTATTATTCGTGCTGTTTTTATATTTTCCATTTTCATGCCGCAGCACTGTTTCAGTGGTCATCTTCTTGCTTGTTCTGTAGTGCATCACTACATGGTTACTACGATTATCCCCGAAGAGAATTAAAATAATTTATGAATACTTCTCTCTTGAACAGATAATCAATCGAACACAAATGGCGACACAGAATGCCTCGAATACAACGAAAAGAAACAGTGTAAGAGGTGGGTTATAACTAATCTTGTGTGATCTTGAGCACTGACAAAGCAAACCTGGACCTCAATTACTTTTCTTATTTTTAATTTTCTATGTATCTCTATCATTTAAAATTTCATTGTTTTTCTTTTTTTAATCTGTGATTTGTTAGACTTTGTTCAGAATATGAGAGGTTCAGAGATTTCACGTATTGTAAAGTTTTTACATTGTATTGAAGACAATTGTCTATTTCTTCTTTGACGAAGTATATTAAATAAATTTGTTGATTTCTTACATGTGCATCAAAGATGTAATTACATAATAATGGAGGATACACGAGAGTGTGTCAGGGATTGCTCCACCCACATGAATTTCATTGAAACTGATGATTTCCTCGGTTGGGTGTGTTTCACCTCTGGTAAGATAAAACGATTAATAATTATGTTTTATTGGACTTGTATGTTCGTACAGTAAGGAAAGTATTCATCAAAATTAATTTAGTTTTCCTATACAGTAATTATGTATTTTTTAAACTACTATTTATTAAATTTGCATTAATTTGTGTACTTTGCGTTTGTCACTAGAAAATTATGTCTAAAACGAATACTTAATTTTTATGAAAGAGGAAAAAAATGCCTTTCTTCAGAAAACAAGAAATTTTACAAGTAATTAGAAGAAAGTCTAAGAATATAATTTATGATTGGATTTTTGTTGCTCGTGAACTTTGCAAAAAGACGTTTTGACTTTTTTTCTTATAAATTCTTGTTAACATTATACGAAAACACGAAATGACTGTAGAATCCGTATACATTTTCCGAACATAAATAATTCATTTTTATTTTATTTAATCAGTTCAGTATTGATTAATTGTTTTGATTAAACTTGATTATTATAAACATTAAGAAGGTAATATCTTATAAAAAAATAATTAAATGTATATGTTGTTTCTGGAGTATGATTATATATATTCTAACATGCAGGCTCCAGGCGCCATTTTTTTTCTTACTTGTAGGCTTTTGAGTTTTCTTATTTTTATGTCCAGGTCAACATTTTTATGTACAAAGGTCCTGAGGAACTTTGGTTATTGACCATCCCGTTCATGTCAATAGGATCATTCCGCGTTCTGGTTTTTACGGTCCGGGAAAAAGGAACAGGGGGAGTATTTTCGCCAAAAAAAAAACCTCGAAATTTATGCAAAGAGAAGTTTATCACATCTGAGGTGACCCATTAGGAAAATCCGGTTGTTTTTATTCTGTCTTAGAAAAAACAAAATAGAATTACATTGTATTCTGATGTATATGCCAACGTGCATAAAATATTAAGTTTAACTAATGTTGCAGTGATGACCTATGTAGTTTTATAATTGTCACACGTGTGTAGCACTATGTTTCGTGTTTTAAATATGTTATGGTACGTTTATTGTAGAATAACCATTAACTTATTTACTTTCATAAAGCTATTGAACCCAATTTATTAGACCTATATGGTTTATTTCTTTGTTTGAAGTTAAGCACAAAGCTACACAATGGGCTATCTGTGCTCTGCCCACCAGGGGTATCGAAAGCCGGCTTATAGTGTTGTAAGTCTGCAAACATACCCCTGTGCCACTGGGTGACGATCTAAATGGCGATTTGCAGTGTGAATTAACACGTCGGTATGTCGTATTAGTATTATAAGTAATCATATGTAAACTACACAAACTATTTTACTTTATCATGATAGGTATAATGTAAATCATATTGGCATGTACGAAACAGTTTCATAATATACTGATATTGGACATGTGTAATACCATTTTTGTACAGAAAGTTTATATATATATACGGGAATATATATCATTAGCATAAAAATATGGACTCCTTCTTTTCTTTCTTTAGAGAATAAATTTTCGTAAACCTTTAGCTGATTTTATAGAAAACAAGGCGCCATCAAAGCACAAGCGATACGGTGGTATTACTAAAACATTTACTATTGAGAGCTTTGAGGAAGAGGGTCCCCCCCCCCCCAGTGGTACAGCGGTGTGTCTGCGGACTTATGACGCTAGAAACCGGGTTTCGATAACCGTGATGGGCAGAGCACAGATAACCCTTCGTGTAGCTTTGTGCTTAACTGCAAACAAACCATTAAAAATGAGCACGATTGAAATCTTAAAGTGAAATTTGTATTGGAAGGCGGAGAGGCAAATACTAGACTTGTCCCAAGCCCAAATATTTCGGTGTTTATATGTTAGTGTAAATAGAGTGAGTAGACAATACCAATAATAATAATTTCTATAACAAACCTTTAAAGCGCTATCATTATTATTATAATATGTATAAAAACACCATATGTTGCAGACATAAGAAAAAGTAAATTTATGTATGTTATAGACAGAGTTAAGAACTCAGTAAAATTACTTCAGTTTCTAGCAGCTTTATCGTTCACAATTTCAGTTTTTTGTGTGGTTTTGGTCTCGTTACATTACTGTGCAAAACGTCTCAGGAAATTTCTTTCAAATTTGACTTGTTGTTTGAAATGTTTTGCTTTTGGCACAAAATTTGTCGGTCATTCAAGCAGTAAGTATTACCTGTTGCTTGTGTGCCGAAACACATTATGACCCTACAATAGTGAATTTACCATCAACGATTTAAGCATAATAGAAATTATCTTATGTAAAAAACATATTACGTGTTTCAACATAACATTGGTCTGAATTATTCTGAGGAAGAAAGGAATGTTCTAAAACCTACAAGCTTGGGCCACCTGGTTTATTCGAGGCCTCAGTCTGTGAATGAACAAGATTTTTTTTCTTACAAAGGCTTTGTTCATCATTGACCTTTGCTACAATATTAATATAATAAGAATCTACCAAAATGTCACATTCTTCTCGAGCATGTTCTAGTACACTCGACTTAATTGGAGATATAAAATTTGCATGCTCTTTCACACGGATTAATAATTTTCTTTTACTGGACTCGATATAGCTTATTGACAGTATGTACAAGTAAAATTTTAAACAACATTTGATTACTTTAGAGCATAAATACGGTCCTTAAATCACACAAAAATTCTAGATAGCAATTAAATTTAAAAACACATTTAAGTTGTATTTGGGGGTAAACCTTACTTATTATGTTACTTAACTGTTTTTTTAATAATCAAAGAACATTTACCCGTATATAGCAAGGTAATAATAGCACTATATATATATATATATATATATATATA